TAGGATCCTGCATCTCCCTGGTTGTGGACACAGTTGTAGGAACAGAAATGCCTTTGCCCAGTGCAACTCGTTTACGTGGCTAACCAAGGAACAAATGACTGCACTGTCTGCAAAACACTCCCAGCAGATCTTGTCCTCAGGGACCAGGAAATGTCTCCTTCTGACTGTTGGGAATCTTCTGGTGGTGGGAAGTGACTGAGGAATGTGGAGACCAGAGGGCCCCACCTGTCACAAGGTGCTTTTCAATCACACAGACACAAAAAGAAGAGAATTTTACTTTCCTCTGGCTCTCCTTTGGATGGCCAGCACAGCTTGACCATCACAGCTTGAGCAGGGGACCTGCAGGCCCTGGCAGGAGGGGTCTCAGTGTGGGTGGGAGGCTGTGGCACTGTCTGGGGCCAGTTCTTGTCCAGCAGAGCAGAACAACGTGGGTGAGCCTCAACATTCCAGGCTTGTCAAAGCTGATAGTGAAACAGGGATTCATCTCATTAACCCTTAGATGTCTAGAGTGGAAAGAAAAATCGAGGACACAGTTCCTTGGAGCTGCTTTCAGTATGCCCTTGGGCTGGGATGGATTGTGCCTCATATCCCAATGGCTGCAATGATAACACCTGACCTTAACACAAAGGCAGAGGTGCTTGGCCAGCTCAGAGCCAGTTGCCCAGTTAATTAAATCCCACCTCAGGTGTCAAAATAAAAGAGCAAGGACCTACTAATAAAATACCTTTAACCCAGTCTCAGCAAGTATTCCTGCAACCAGCTTACCTGTGTAGGAGGATGGATGGGTGATGGATGGATGGATGGATGGATGGATGGATGGATGGATGGATGGATGGATGTCAAAGTCATCAGTAGGAACTCTCACTTTGCCCTCAGGAATCCTGCTCCTGCCGCCCTCATTCCCTCACACCAGGCAAGAATGGTTATTATGCTTTACACACACTTAAATAATAAAGACCTATTTAATAGACTGCTCAGGAGGATAACAATAAAGCGCCATTTGCCTGGGAGTGGCTTAATTGTTTTGCTACTCATAAAAATGGACTTTGGGGAACAAAGTTCTTGGACAGCCTCTGCTCACTACTTCAGTAGGAAACCTGATACTAACATCAGCTGAGATCATCTAAGGCAATCCAACTGCTGCTGGATATGGGCCACTAGATGATTCTCTTGGCCCATTGCCCTTCTCCTGGGAAAGACAGGGAGCAGATGTTGGATCAGCACATAATAATTGAACACCTGGGAGTCTTCTTCCATGCTTAGCAAGCTAAGGCAGCATCTCACTGCGGGGCTTTTGAGGTAGGACTGCCATAAATTCTGGAAGTTTTGATAGAACACAGATAGGGTTTTGTTTTTTGTTTTCTTGTGGGTTTTTTAGAGCAGGGAAGGAGGCCCTTTAAGTCTGCAGAGTGAACATAGGTGCCTTTTTGTGGGAAGAACAAACATTTTGCCGTGGATTTTTTTGTCCTACATCATCTAATGTCCTTCATCATGAAGTGCTTCCTCAGGAATTTGGCCAGGGACGCTGAGCTGGTGGTGTGGTGGACATGTAGGAGGGAAGGGATGGATCCAAAGGGGCCTGGACAGGCTGGAGAGGTGGGGCTGTGCAAACAAGGCCAAGTGCACCTGGGCTGGGGCAATCCCAAGCATCAGAACAGACTGGGCAGGGAATGGATTGAAAGCAGCCCTGAGAAGACACAGGGTGAGGGGCTGGACAGGACCCAGCCCTGAGCACTCCCAGCCCAGAAATTCAATCGTGCCCTGGCTGCATCAAAAGGAGTTGGGCAGCAAATCGAGGGAGGTGATTCCATCCCTCCACTCTGCTCTGGTGAATCCCCACCTGGAGTGCTGGTTCCAGCCCTGGGATCTCCAGCACAAGGAGGACATGGACCTGTTGGAGAGAGTCATGGGGAGACCACAAATTTCATCAAGGGGCTGGAGCCTCTCTGCTCTTGAAACAGTTGGGAATGTTCACCTGGAGAGGAGAAGGCTCCAGGGGGGGTTCGGGGCTTTTTCCGGGGCTTGAGGGGGTTCCGGGGGGGTTGGGGGGGACTTTTGGAAACCCCCTTGGGTTGCCGGGCCAAGGGGTTTGGTTTTAACTTGAAGGGGGGCGGGTTTGGGGGGGTTTTTGGGAGGAATTTTTTTCTTTTTGGGTTGGGGGGGCCTTGGCCCGGGTTGCCCGGGGAGGTTTTGGTTGCCCTTGGTTCCTTGGAGTTTTCCCGGGCCGGGTTGGCCGGGGTTTGGGGCGGCTTGGGCTGTTGGAGGTTTTCCTTGCCATGGCAGGGGGTTGGAACAGGATGATCTCTAAGGTCCCTTCCAACATAAATCATTCTATTATCCCACAATCTTTAATTTATTTTCTTTGTGTGATGTAACTGGAGAAGACGGCAGATCTGCAGCAAAATCCACAAAGAAAAGTTTTGAAAGTTCTGGTTGATTCTTTAGCCTGCTCCACGGTGCTGGAACCAAACCAGGGCTGAGTGCACTCACAGCGTGTCTGTACAAGGTTTTTCTCCACAGGAGGCATCCGTGGGGCTGTGACTGTGCCAGGGGACTGCAGCAGGGCTGGCTGGGCTGCTGTGAGGCTGTGGGGCTGTGCCCCCAGGCTGCTGCACCTGGGCTCAGAGCCACAGCAACAGTAACTGGGACAGGTCATGGACTTAGCTGATTTTATGACAAAATTGCCTTTTCTTTTTCTCCTTTGTTTAAAGGAGGTAGGGTGAAGGCAAGGAGGATTTTAAATTAATTTACATGCCATGGGAAATAGAGGATGGGAGATGCAAATGGAGGGGAAGGGGTGAAAACCTGGAGAAAAGGAGGTTCAGGAGAGACCTTATCACTCTCTACAGCTCTCTGATAGAAGGTTGTAGCCAGGTGGAGGTTGGTCTCTTTTCCCTGGCAACAAGCCTCTGGACAGAAGGAAAAGGCCTCAAGCTGTGCCAGGGGAGGTTCAGGTTGGACATTCAGAATTTATCCACTGAAAGGGTGATCAAGCATTGGAAGGGGCTTCCTAGAGAAGTGGTGGACTCTCCTTCCCTGGAGGTGTCCAAGGAACGACTGGATGTGGCACTCAGTGCTCTGTTAATTGACAATTGCTCTGTTAATTGTTTGGTCAGAAGTTGGGATCATCTTGATGTCTTTTCCAACTTTAAAGATTCTGTGATCCTAAGAAAAGATAAGCAGAGGAAAGAGCTTGCACAGCAGGAAGAGCAGTAGTAGGCATACAGGTGTCATGGAATTTAAAGGTAATTAGAACCTCATTAGCAGGCAGCTGCTTTCCCAGTACATCTCAGAATTTGGGTGACAATGTGGGCATCCAGCACCTCAAATTCTTGCCATGGATCTGTGGGGCCTGAGAGCAGCAAAATCAATGTGAGTGTCTCCATGGGATATCCTGGCAGAGGACTCCTCTGGGTCTGCTGTCAATGCTCAGGCTCCTTAAGTGGTCATTTCCCAGGTCTGGAGAGCCTTCCCTCAATCACAGGGCAGCAGGGAACAGTGCCTGGATGCTCTTGTGCAGGGGACAGCAGCCACCCTGCTCTTCTGCGGGTACTGGACACGGAACAAGCTGGGCACCCCTTCCCTCTGTCCAGTCCTCCCTTCCAGCTCCCCTCCACTGATTTTCCAGCAAAAAGTGCCTCCTGTGTTGTCCTGCACCGCTGCTCCAGGGTCCCGTGGCTGGCTGGCTCAGTGGCACTGCAGGACAGGGCAGATGCTGCTGCTCCTGTGCACTCCCTTCCCTCCCTGGGTGTGCATCTGCTGTGGGAGAGAAGAGAATCCTCTCTCCCAGCTCAGAAGACTCAGCCTGGACACAGGCCACCTGCCCATCTGCACACACCATCTGCAAAATGGTGTTTCCAGCTGAAATTCCTGCTCTGCTCCCCCTCGCTTCCCCTCCCTGACAACTCCAGCTACTTTATCGCTTCTCTTTGCAATCAACTCTGCAGGTCCGGGAGAAATTGGCTCCTTTCATCCTCCCTCGCACAGCCCCCTCTCCCTCCCAGCAGCGATGCCATCCTCCCTCCCATCGCCGTGTGCTGCTCACCCTGTCACAGTAATGAAATAACAAATAAAATTTTATGGGACAGCAGAAACGGGGCTAAGGTGACAGGGAGAAGGCAGACTTGTGGTACGTGGGAAAAGGAAAGGAAGAAAAAGGGGGAAAGGGTGTTCGATTCAGGAAATTTGATTTGAATAAATCCCTCCTCCCGCTCCTCCTCATTGGTTTCTTTTTCTCCTCCATATTAATGAGAGCAGCCAAGGAGAAGCTATTGGTTCCGTATCGCTTTCCCTTTGCTCAGGCACTCGGGGGAGGAGGTGTTTGCATTTCTCCGCAGGACCAGCTCGCTTTGCAGAGCATTGTCTGGGTATGAGAATCACACACAGGCACCGGGGCAGGGGCGAGCGCGCCGGAGCATCTCACCCCGGCACCGCAGCATCTCCGCCAGCCTGAGCACCCCTCTGGTCCCCCGCCCCGAGCACCGACAGCCCCCCTAAAAAACAGAACAAAAACAAAAAAAAATAGAAAGGGGAAAAAAAAAAAGTTTTAAAATATCCCGCCTTCCTTCTTGCTTTTGTTTTTTTTGTCGTTGCTGTTTGGGTTTTGTTTTTGTTTTTTGGGGTTTTTTTGGGGGGGTTTGTTTTGCTGTTGGGTTTTTTTTTTAATTTGTTTTTTGATTTAGCGATGGCAAATTCCTTCACGGCCAGGAGCTGGCCCATCCCCTGAGCACAGGCAGCCTGGACATGCATGACCGGCAGGCCAGGGAGGAGGAATTTGGATTTTCTCGTGCGGCCGTGGGGAGCCAGCGCGGGCAGCGGGGCCGGAGCTCGCCCCGCGGCCACGGAGCCCCCGCGGGGATGCGGCATCGCCAGCGCCGGGACCGAGCCCTGCTGCAATGGTGAGTCCTTGCCCGGCTGCTCCCGGGGCAGCCCCATCCATCCCCCGAGCGCGGGGATGCCACAGCAGCCCGGGATGGAGTGACATTGATTGCCCGGCTCGTCCCCGGGTCCTGCGAGCACTTCTTTAGGGGGGATTGCGTGCCTTCGGCAGGCTCGGGGGATGCGTCCTCCCGATGGATTGGGTTCTTTGCGAACGAATCAATCTCCCGTCGCTGGCCGTGACAGGTTGAGGCGCTCGGTATGGGAATCACGTCTGGTTTTAATGCAATATGGCTGGTAAATAAAACCTGATTGCTAACAGCCCCGCCGCTGCTGTCGGCGTTGCCGAGCTCAAGGCTCTCCCGATGCAGCTCTGCATCCTCACCTGCCGCAGAAACTCCGATTCACCCTTCAGGCAGTGCAGCAGGGCTCGCTTGTTTTTGCTGTGGGGTAGCAGGGGAAAAACTGCGGTTAGTGTGCCTTTGACCTCTGCTCGAGTGCCTCTGGGCACTTCTCCCTATCAGCGTTTGAACAGCTGGCTCTGGTAGCACCGTCTTCATGCCGGGCACATCTCCAGCCGGGGGGATGGCACGCAGGACAGGCTCTTGTCCGCTGTGCTCTGAATTTAGGATGCGAAGCGTTCAGGTATGTGTTGGAATCTGAGGAGTTTGCAGCCAGGGAGAGAAGGAGAATGCAATGATGCAGCTTGCTGTGCAGAAATGGAAAACGCAAGGGGTAAAAAAAAAAAAAAAAAAAAAATTAGATTTGATTAGTGGCACACTGGTGCTCATGGCTACACGATCATCCCACTTACACAGCAGCAGATCTGGAAGAACTCCCTGGAAGTCAGTGGATTTCTTCTGCATCTGATCTGCAGGTAAACACAATCTGGCCTTTAGCTTGAAGGATGTAGCACTGGAGGTAGCTATAAGAGGAAGAAAATCTTAAGTAAAGTGAATAAGGCAGCAAAGTGACGTGATTCTTTCTCAGGGAATTATCAATTACCATCCGTCTGGTGCATGTTAATTACAGTGCGAGTGGTGGACTGGTACAGCAATATGTAACTGAAGCAGCTTGTTGGATTTTTTTATTTCATCTGTTGGAGTCAGAAACACAGCACATGGATTTGCACTTGCTGTTATTTGGGTACACAGCCCCCTCACTCCTCTGTCCTGCATATGCAGCGCTGGTCAGGTACAGCAGGGAAACGCTTCTGTGGCTGATCCAGGGGAATGTTTGATTGCTGGAGGTGAGTGAGAGCACAGAGGCAAACTCCTGAAAGTGCTCCTGTGTAGCTGCAGAGAAAGAACGTGTTATACAAGCATCTCCTGTTGGCTAATGCCAAACACCCTGGAGCTGGCTTGGAAGAAGTTGTCCTGTAGGATGGGTAAGGCAGCACTGGAATTTGGTGAACAATTAAAGAATGCTGGTCAGGGCAATAAGGGGAGTTGGATTAAAGTTGATGTGTCTGCTTGTGTGTGGGTTGTGGTCTTCCACTTTTATTCCCACCTGTTTCCATGTGCTGTGGGCCAGGGCTGCTGCTTTGCTGTCATTCAGGACAGCTCCAATCGATCTTATTCTGTCCCGGGCATTTATCTCGGACATTGCAGAAGATTTTCTCTGTTTTGTTCTCTCCAGCCAAAGACTTGTGAATGGCTGGGAGGATAACCATGGACACAGCACAGCCTTCAAGGTCACGGGCTGGGGGCTTTTGGTGAGATAAACATACTTATTTCTCTTTAAACAGGCTTTGTGATGGCTCCTTGGCTTTAGCATCCCATCACCCCTGGGGGTCCCTGCAGGAGACTGGAGGGGTCAGTCCTTCCTCGCTGTTTGAGATGTCTGATGTTGGCACGGTGGTGCCACAGCCTCGCAGAGCTGCCCAGACCTGCTGCTGCTGGTGTTTGTGAGGCTCACAAACACGGGGGCAGCAGCTCTGCTGTGGGATGCTACCAGGGAGAGAAAAACCTGAGATTTCTGAGCTTGTGGGCTGTGCTGCTGAGCACATTCCGACCTTTGCTCATCACGTCTCTCCTCCTTTGGCTGACTGAGACAGCATCCTGGAGATATTTTTTTCCTGGGGTTGAGTTCCATATGTGCCTGTGCCTTTGCTAAGTTGAGCCCCGTGTCCCCGAGCTGATTCATTCCAATGTAGCAGATTTTGTTTGCCTTTCCTTCCTTCTGAGCACACTTAGTACAAACAGTCTAATTCCTAAATTAGCTCAGATTATCTTTTAATGAAACCAGAGTATCTGAGTTAAGAAGCGCTGAGAAAAAGTGAACTCAGGGCAGGATCATGCTGCAACTCATGCCTGGTGGAGAAACCTGCAGAAATATCAGGTCTTGCAGTTAGTTCGGATTTAACAGAGAAATTGCTTATTTGCCAGTGTTTCCAGGAGAGGAAAACTGATCTGAGGATGTGGAAGTCAGTGGTGGTGCCGAATTTTATTTCACCCCTTTCCTTGGCCCAGAGAGTGCAGCCGCAATCTTTAAGTCAATGAGGGGAATTTTTTTATTGGCTTGTGTTTCCTTGTTTCCATTTCCTCTGCTCCTGTCACGTCCAGCCAATCCCACACCATCTGTGCTTCGGCACACATTGCAGTCAACAGGAATTTGGAGTGAATTTTCCACATCAGGACAGAAGTGGAACAGCTCTGCTGAAGGGATGTAAATGCAGCAGTGAGTAACTCTCTCTTTTTTTTTTTTTTTTTGCTATCGGAAGTCATCTTTGCTGACAGTGTCTCGTCAGGGTGAGCTGTGGCACGGCTCAAACAGGCTGCTCAGAGTATCCCTGAGGAGACTTTCCCAGTTCCCTTGGTGCTGAACTTGTTCTGTTCTTAGGGAATGCTTTGCATACAGAAAGGTGTTTGGTAGTTTTCCACAGCACTAACAAGTTCTAGAATTCCAGTGTCTGTCGTGGCAGCTGAAACGAGGTTTGGATTGCAATTGAGTGGGCACAAATAAACAAATATACAGGAAAGAAGACAGGTTTGGTGGGTTTTTTGGGGTTTTTTTTTGTATTTTTTTTTTTCAGAAGCTTAATGGCAGAATGTCCATCCCTCACCCTATTGCTTTGCTGGTGTTTTATCCTCTGACCACTTTTTGCTCTCTCAATTTATTATGTGTCTTCTTAGGCTTGCACTTTTATCTGCACAAGGCAACCTAGGAATGAGTATAAAACTCGCTGGGCTGTTCCAGCCTTGTTTATGTAACTCACTGCAGCTCAGTGATTGTGTCCCCCTGCAAGCTCATCTCCAGAGTAGCCAGATTAATAATTTCAGGGTTGGACTTCTTAGGACAAGCTGAACCATTCCATCTCCTAGAGAAAATGTGGAAGCATCACCACACAGAGGATTTAAAGCCAATGTGGATGTTGTGCTGAGGAATATTTCCTCGGAAGGGGTCCTGCAGAAACATGCAGCTGCTCTGGTTCCAGGCTACTGTTGAATACAAATTCTTCAATTTATCTGCCCTGGAGACACCCTGACAGTCTCATCTCTGCTCATTCAGGTTTCATATTTTACTCCTTGATAGAGAGCTACGATCTGAAATGACTTTGATCTATTTAACTGCCATCTTTTTTTTTATGAAAAAAAGGTTTTTATAGGTGGAGAAACCTCTGCTTACTGCCACTGTTAAAAAACCCCAAACCAAAACAAGCGCCGAAATACCCAACAAATAACTCAGTAATTCCATTTTTTGTTAATGTAATTCATAATTCACTCTAAAACTGAGAGAAAAGGGGATAAATATGAATATGTATATGGTCAAGTTCTTCTTAATAATAATTATGGCAGTAGCAATAATAATAATTTCTATTGTAACACATTGGGAGTATTGATGTTTAAGAGCTCCTTACTGAATATACATTAAACATCTGCCAGGTCTGTTTTCAGGTTTGTCCATCCAGTTTGAGGCACTTCACAAGAAATGTTCCTCAATCACCGTGGCTTTTGCACCCCTTTAGAAACACTTGTGTCATGAGCTCGGGAGCTGCAAATGGAAGAATAATTGTGGTCTGTTATCTATGATTTGTTGGTTTGCTAAATGGAGCTGAGGGTTAGAGCAGGAAAAGATGTTTTAATCTGTGTGGTGGGTTAATAGCCTGGATTTTTTATTCATTTGTCGCTCAGGCAAGTTCTGCTACTTTCTGTCCCTGCAAGGGACAGTGCATTGTCCAATCTGATTCTGTGAGGAATATTATGAAAAAAAAAATAAACAAAAAACCAAATTGACTGAATTAAGGTCTTAGTTTCTGGGGAGCAGATTTATCATTAGGTCCATCTCTGAGGAGCAGAGGATGTATAAATTCTCTCATTCTCAAGAGGAGCTTGTCCCCAAAGGATCTCCTGGCAAAACTATTGCTCATTTCATGTGGAGGCTTTCTCACTCAGAAGTGTTTGGCTGCCTGGATGATGCTCTGAAAGCATCTGAAAACAAAATTCTCCCATCCAAGCCAATCACCCTAATTTACTGTATGAGGAACGAGCAGAGTGGTTCATGCCATCCTGGAGTGGGTCAGATGAATCACCCCACGGAGGTTCTTGCAGCAGCTGACTCAGACACACATCCACAGTCAGCCAGATGGAGCCTTCCATGGTGTCTCAGAGGCATCCCCAGGAAGTGATGCCTCTCTTTTCTCCATCTTCTCTTTGGAGGGGAAGGCTGGTGATATTTTGCTAGCTCACAAATTTTGATAGCTGGTAACCTTTATGAAAAGCCCAAGTGTTGTAAGTTTTATGAAAAGCCCAGGACTGCTGTGGTGGACCCCACATCTTCCTCACCCACATCTTCCCTTTATTCCATGAAGGGCAGACGCAGCTGCTGGAGAATTCCTGCCACATGTCCCAAACAATATCCTACCTATTTACCTTTTTATTTCTTCTTTTAAAATTATTCATAGATTTTTGAGATCTGATAGGCTTCCTTGGTGTATCTTTGTCCAATTACTCAGAGGGATTTGCCAGCTGAAGCTCAGGTGTGATTTTGTGGATACACCAGCACAGGGACACATGTAGGACAGTGACATGATTTTCTGCAGGCACACACGAGCTGGCTCTGCCCTGAGCCAGGCAGGAGCTGTGCAAAGCTCCAGATTCATCTGCTCTACCCCGGGTGGGAATGGCTGCACTGGAAGTTGCACAGAGCTGGAGATGAATGCTGACCAGACCTCATTAGCTCAGGGTTGGCACCTTGTGAAATACATTTTGACCAGCTTGGAGCCCTTGTGCTCAGAACTAGGTGACCTAAAAGGCAGCTTTTTGCCATATATCAATAGCTCAGTGCTCTTTTATTTTAATGCTTTCACCCTCTGTCCTAAGCTAACAATGTCCACTGATAAATGGACTTAACTAACATCTTCCGTCTTCACTATGGCCTGTAAAATTATTTACTGAAAACCAAATAATGCACAAAACAAACAAACAAACAAAGAAAACCCCACATGAGCTGCTCAGAACACATTGATACGTAGACTGGAGGTGTAGCAGTAAGAGATACATTTCTACACAGCAGAAATAAATTATATATATTTGGAAAGAGAGTTAAAATAGCTGAGATATCTTTAACTCCAAATTCCTTTTCCAGGAATGGAAAGACTTTATTAAATCACAGCATTTCTGTTTCTGCTCTTACTGTCACATATT